GTGAGTTAATGTATTCCTCTTATCGGCAAGACATATCGGCAATTTTTCATATCGGGCCTAGGGATGCACCGATACCACTTTTTCCAGTACTCGCCCGATACCGATACTTTTATTTTTGGTACTTGCCAATACCGAGTACCGATACCAATATTTTTATTGCATTTGTACATTTTTTAAATATTGGGCACAGAAACCAAAAGAGTATGTACAATGTTAGTTGGTTAACTTAATTGATCAAATAGATACAGTCAAACCAACATTTATTCAGACACCTTCAACATTTCTCACATTATCACAGTTTATTCGCTATACTATACAGGCGTTAACACTGAATGTTTAACGTTATATTCATTGCATACATATACTTCGTAGTAGACATTCTTAACTCCATTCTGCTGTCTGTTGTTCTGTTGTCGGTGTTTCTTTGTCTGAATATGGCACTTATTACATGCTGTGTGGTATCGGCGTTTGGTATCGGGGCATTTTAACGAGTACGAGTACGAGCTCAGTATCGGGCCCGATACAGATACTGCATCCCTAATCGGGCCGATGCCGATATTTACATTTAAAGCCATTATCAGCCAATTCCGATATCAGTCCGATAATATTGTGCATCCCTAGTTATTGTTGTTGTTTTTTTTTGGCTAAATCACGTTTTAGATAGGATGTCAACAACCGCTTAAAAATAACTGCATTTACTATGTACAGATAAGTGCATAAACGGTTACAGTTGAATTTATTTATACCATAGTCCAGTGTTTCCCACTTGTGGCGGCATATATATGCAAATTCATTCTCTGCCAGCAGGAGGTGCTATTGGAGTAGTAGCGATTGAGGTTTCCCCGGAAACAGCTGTACACAAAGCAGCGCTCCACTCACAAATGCTGCTTTATCAGACATTACATGCAAGATGAAATTAAAATGACATCCAAAATTTTCTGAAGACAGTCGGTTTCCTTCAGAAAAATAGTGATATAAAAACACCCGCACCGGGTTTCGATTTTGAAACGTGCAGTTCCCATGTTTATTCAACGAAGCCAAAGCCTTTTAGAAAATCTATTTGTGGCGGTCAGTTTTGATATTGTGACGAGCGCCACAAATAAATCAATATATGGGAAACACTGTAGTCTCATAATTGAAGTGTAAATTCAACAGATTACATCATTGTCCAGTATTGTACTGTCAGCAATTTATAAAAACGATTTCATAATTGTAACATACATACTAACATACATAATTATTCAGGTGCATGTGTAATAACTTGCGAAAACTTGACGCTACAGCAGCACTTCTTCGTTATCGTCTTGTCTGATGCACTCAGCCAAGCGTTCTAACCACGACCTCGCCCCTCCCCACCCCCCAACCATTCGAATTTCCGTAGGCGGGATATTTTTGTTCAATTATATTCTAATGGGCTGCTTTGTGACATCACAAAATCCCCAGAAAACAACGCTGTAGTCTAAACGAGCCGTTTGTTGTAGTTCTTGAAAAGGGATTTTAAAAAAAAGAAATATCTCCCGTTGGAGTGGACTTTGAGATTTGTAACTTTGTAGATCTTTTTTATGCCCAAACATACACACTACACACTGACTAAAATTCAAATAGTGAAAAAGCATAATAGGACACCTTTAGTTTAAAGTGCCCCAGTTATGGATTTTTGAAAATTACCTTTCATGTAGTGTGTAACACAGCTCTAAGTTATTGAAAACATCCTGCAAAATTTTAAAGGGGTCATATGACGTTGCTAAAAAGAACATTATGTTGTGTATTTGGTGTAATGCAATGTGTTTATGCGGTTTAAGGTACATAATGTATAATTATTGTTTCTCCTCTATGCCCCGCCTTTCTGAAACGCGTCGATTTTTACAAAGCTCATCGTTCTAAAATAGCGAGGTGTGTATAAACCGAATAACTTAAGTAATTTCTGGATTAGTGCGTACTAGAGACGCGAACCGTTTCAAACGATTCAGTTCGATTTGGTGAACTGGTTTGACTGGGTCACTAAGAAGATCCGGTTAAATAGAAAGATTCGTTCGCGAACAGGACAT